GTGCATACATAAAAGTACTTTTTTGGATTGCATGACAGTTTCTTTGGCCGTTTACACTGTCCCGTTTGTGTACCGTCCCGTTTTAGATACTCGCCAGTTTTGGGTATTGTGACGTAACAGTAATAATATTATGTAGTACATCTAATTTGACTCGGCGATTGATGCACGTCTTGATTAGCCTTTGTATCAACAGTTTTTAATGCAAAATAGTTATTATTAATTACAGAAAGATTAAATTATAATTACAGCATACTTTGCGGTAATGACATTACGTCATTTTGAGCTGGATATAATGTTATACAAAAATAATATAATGGTATATAGGCTAATCTAATATACACTAATCTTCAAGCTAATTAGCACTAAAGATGTAAGACTACCGTGATATTATACATAGTTGTTTCAAGGTAATGCTACCTATTCATGTTTACTGTTTGTGGTAAGATTACAAACAATTATGAATATTTACTACGTACATGAACAAACTCCGTTTCCTTAATCACATATTTTGTCCTACATCAGTAACAATTTAATCAAAGCATAGCTGTTTCAAGGAGCTACATTAACAATATAATAACAAACATATAGACTATCAAAGTAGCACCAACATACCACTATATATTTGTATCTCCATGTGATATTTCCTGTCTGTCAATGCCAACAACTATATACGGATGGTTAGGTTACCAACGACTTCTTCTAATATTATCTTAATGGTGTATACATGTACCATTCTATATTCCGTTGCGAACAAACGTTTTTAACAGTTTACTTTGTATTATTGATCAAAATGTCTGACAAGAGGGCAACAGTGTAAACATAGTTTCAAATAAAATAAGTTAACAAATACATAAAAATAAAAAAATGGAAACGCAAAACAATAACAAGTTGACATGTTCGCAATTCACAACCTAAGAGTATAAAAAAAGCTTTTACTCAATGATCCGACACGTTTTTCACGTTCTGTCAAGGCTTTCCTCGGATGAAACGTGAACACCGGGCAGCTTTGGAGCACGTTTGTGCCCAAGAAAGCCTCCCAAGCAAAAGCAATCATTATATCCTGAGACGAATCGAGAGATAACATCATGAATTCCCAAGATGAAGAAGATTTTCTGTACGAAACGTAGTGCGCCGTGGGATTTTGGCTTTTAAATACTCCCTCCCAGACCGCGCGCCGTGTCAGACCGTAGTAGAACGCAACGCGCCGGGACCGGACACCGTCACACACAGGGACGCGCCGGATTGAACGCGACGAAACAGCTACCATACACCCTAGCATACATTGAGAACCGTGACAAAACTTGGCAAAACAGGCCAAAACGCGCAGCAACCGTGAACCAACCGTGACAGAACGCGCACTACACGCGATAGAACTTGACAAAACTTGAAAGGACCGTGAGATGCCGGGAAATACACTTGCTTCCCGTCCCACTACGAACCGCTATATTACGGC